GGAATGGGCTGCCCCTGTCGGATGACCTCTCCTGGGGGACCTGCTACGGAGCATGCTTCTGGCGGATTCTACTTCCGAGCCGGGTTCTGAGGGCTCGTCTTCATCGGCACTGTCCTCAGGGAGAGCACTGGATCCTACTCCGGAGTTGTAATCACTATCTGGCAGCGCCCTGAATGTAAGGACCTCACCTGACCTGATCTCGGTGTAGTATCCTGGGCATGCTTTGCCCATGACCTCTATGTCAACATGGGCCGGCAGCTCTCTTTCATAGGCCCGCAAAACCGTCGGGATGTGGAGCCTGTGACCAAATTGTAGCCAGCCGAAAGGCCGAACTCCAAGTGGTCTAAAGTCCAGAAAGATGAGACACTGCTCTCCTTCACCTTCTGTTGAGCCGCAACATCCGGCCTCTGGGACGTCAACAAGCATAACCAGGCCTTTGCAATTGCGGCCATGCACACATAAATCCGTGATCGGGGGGTGCTCTGCACAAGCGAGGCGAGTGGCACCTGGCTGGCAGCCTACAACATCGATCGCAGCCTCGTGTAGTGCATGCAAAGAGTCACCTTCAGTGTCTAGGTGCCATCGCTTGGTCTTGTAAAGCAGGCAATATCCCCGAGCTTCCTCATGTCTACGAGTGTCCTCTGCGGTCTTCCAATTGGTGCTGTCTCCTAGCAACTCTACTTGGAAAGGACCATGTCTATGAACCCGTCTCTCATCACAGACGGTGAGCAGGTCGCCATGTGACAAGCAGATGTCGTCACCTATCGGGTGTGGGTTTCGTTCGGCTCCAATGAAAAGGTCCACACTGGAACATCCCGCAGGTAACATCGGATTGATATATGATATCCATTCTGTGAAGCCAAGAACAGATGGTAGCACAGCGGCGAAGATCCTTCCTCCTGCTGGTTCCAGATTTATCACAACCGTAGAGTGGCTCAGCCCTTCCATGGCACTGGAGTGGACGACGTATGTAAGCATCCCTCGGTAAGCCGTGGGTTCAACTGGGGTCACACAATCAAGGACATCAACAGGAAGATGAGTGGACCTCTCTCGTATACAGGAAATTAGCTCGTTAGGGTCCTTGCCTGCGGAAACCATTAGGTCCACGAAGTTGGTATGGTAGTGAGGGGCCATGATTGCAGCACCGACGAACTCCCCGGAACTCGTTAGCCCTGCCTCAGTTCGGTTGGAACCCTCAACTGGAGCATCTGGAAAAGGCAGCGGATCTTCAGTTGCTCCCTGTTCGGGCACTGCCATAAAAGCGTCTGCGAGCAAGGTGATGCCATGTGCATCAGCCTGTGAAGGTATGGCCCAAACACACACGGGCACGTTGATGCAACGGAGGAACAGATAGAGGAGGAAAACCCGCCACGATGACCTGCGAGGACGAGGCTTCCTATCATACCGAGGAGGGAAGCACCTCCATGTGAGGATTGGCACAGTTGCGCCTACTCGGGCAATGGGCACAGCAAAGGCCCCGCTTATGTCTAGGAACTTCCAATGGGCTTTGCGCTGCATACGTTTGCGCGGGTATTGGAAACCTCTGTGCAGAAGAGCTCCTAGTAACCAAAAGATCCCAAAAGAAACAAGGATCTTAGCTGACTGGAGTTGATGGGCCCACCAGTCCTTATGAGCGTCGGCCCATGCTGCATAGTGACACTCACTGGCCTGGGGTGGGGCCTGTGCCCCTGAGCCACCGATGCACATGTTTGGCGCTCCCACCCCGTAACTAGTTGTGTCACTCCCTTTCTTCCGCCTGTCCTGTCGAGAAGCTGGAAGGGTGGCGGGGTGTGGTAAAAATACGCCACATTCCCTCGCAATGCAGATGAAGAATGGTCGTGTCATCTGTACAAAATTGAGGCTCCCAAGAGAAGGGGGGCCAGGCAGGAGGCGCATTCCTCTACACACAAAGGTGTCTTGAGGGTCAGGGGGAGTAGCCACAGTAAAGGCGGGGGCCTCGTTCTGCAAAGCACTCAGTCCACGGATTGGTTGTGGAAAAAGGGCTCGTGTCAAATCCCAGAGAGGAGCCCTTGTGATAACGGGCCTGGCAAATGGCGTAGGGAGGGGCGGTGGATCAATAACCCAATGATCCCACGCCCTCCGCGAGGACAAAAACCGAGGTTTTCCGTCATCATCTTGCCGAACCCAGGCAAGTGCTGGCGGAATCTCAGAATCGACACTGAAAGGGGCACTGTTCAGACAGGACAGGTCGACTGCTTTGTACACGGAGCTAGGATGAAACAAAACCCTCTCATGCTGTACACAGCGAGCGTCTCTCACGTTGAGCACCTGCCATTGTCCACCGTAGTCTCCTCTCCTGATCAGTTGACCGACGGGAAACTGACACACCTGAAGCTCAAACCCACGAGCTTCAAAAGCGGTCGGTCCCACCAGCCCTGCGCCGGGAGACATCCATGGTGGGCCGTGGCAGGGCTCGCATGGCCGTGTCATGTAGCAGGCTCCTCTCTTACTTCTTCTTTCTTTCCTCCGCCGGCATCCTGTTCTCCACTCAGGTCGTCGTCCTCGATAAAAGCCGTTGTCGGCGGCTTCCCCGGATAGATCGGGGGAATCATCCCGGTCTTCGGAGGGAGGGCATTGCCAAAGGGTGTCAGAGCTCTGGTTGCATTGGGCAGTGCTGCCGCGGTAGAGGCAGCCGGTGCCGCTCCCATGTCCAAGCCCCCTTCGTAAGGGTTTGTCCTTGCACTCGGAGACAGCGGCTTCACCTTGGCGTAGAGGCTTCCCGGTGATGCTTGATACGGGGCCGCATTGGGCGGCACCACGCCACCCACATAGTCCATGGGAGGGAACCCTGTCGATGGGGCCGGACCTGTCGCGGCCGGGACCCGCGTCATTACATCTTCCGTGAGTTCCCCCATCGGACCAGAGGTCTCCATATGCTCCACATCCATGGCTCGTCTCTCCAAGCCCGGCGGGCCCATTCCGAAGACTGGCACCCCCTGTCCATGCTGTGCAGGGTGTCTGCCACTTGGTAGTCCCGCAAGTTCCCAGGGGTCCCTTGGCCGGGATGGTCCGGACATGCTTGCGCGAACCGCCCTGTCTAGGACGCCTTGGGCATCCATGTTCGCACACTCTCCCCTGCCTTCTGCGAGCAGCTCCTGTAGCCTGGTTGTGTGCTGTTCGTTGTCCCTCGGGATACGGCCCGAGTGGACTTGCAGAAGCTCTTTTCGCGACTCCTCCTGTGCCGCCGTGGCTCTGGCTAGGTCCTCTTCCAGCCTCTGTAAGTCCCTGTTGTACTTGTTGTACTCGCGGGAGTAAGATTTCTGCAAGTCCGTCTCGTACTTGTCCCAGAGCCTGGCACGTTCCTCCCGTGCTTTGGCCAAAGTCACGACTTTCTGTTCGCATTTGCGAGTCTTGTTGAGAGCCTCCTGGATAAGTTGTACCATCGACGCGGGTCCGGTGGCTTCTCCCGAACCTTGATGGTCCCGTTCCCATGTCTGTTGTCCGCGCCCTTGGTCGTAGGCCGGGAATGCTGAGTCCCGTCGTGACCAAGAGCCACGCCAGTAACTTGGGCCACCTTGTTGTCCAGCTCCACGTCGCCATTGTTTGCTCATGGGGAGTCCTGCACCGTGATGCTCCCAGAGTCTCCTGGCCTGTAACCGCGACAGCGGTTTGCCGGCCCGCCAGGTGGATCGAGCTTTGGACCTCGCAGTCCTTGCTCTCCTGTGCCAGTTCGGGCTCTTCGGCGCTATGGCGGCGCTCTGTCCTGCTACGGCGAAAGCTTCGCCTGGGGCAACAGTATTCCGGAGACCTTCCCGGCGATCTGAGCCCTATCTATGTCTATATCTATATCTGTATCTATATCTATATCTATAAGTATCTATATACACATAGAAAAGAACCTCCGAGGCCCCAGCACCAGGGCCAGCTCCCAGTCTCTCAGAGACTTCGCAAAGGATTGATGGAAGGGTCGGGACCACGGATATGCCACTGCAAGAACATGCGAATGTCTTGTTGGTGACATCGTGACGTAAGGTTACTGAACTTGACAAGAAGATTGCCAAATGTGATGAGGACGCATTAACTGCCCTTCAAGAGCTGCTTCCAACATGTCCAGATTGCGATTCATGCAGGACATCAGGAGATATGTTGGTGGAAGAGCTTCAACACAGCAAAAGCAGTTGGCTTTGCAGTGCATGAAGAGGCAGACAGCATGCTGGTCAAGATTTGCTCTCGCATTGCAGTGAGTTGTGCAGATCCGAGAAACGGTTGACAGATGCTGAGCATCCTATACTTTTCAAAGCTGGACGTGTCAATCGAACATGGACGGATTTCTCTCCGAGCTCGTTTCATGCTTGCAGACACCATTGTCCCAGAACTGTTCCCCTCAAGCTCAGTTGTTGTTATCACGCAGTTTCATGGAAGCCTGTGTTTGGGAAGGAAGAAGATGTACGAGCAGCAGCGAGATCAAATCCTCGGCACGCAGTTCAATGTCGACTCACTGGCCGGCGCGCAGGAGCAGGTTGGGTCCGGTCCAGGGTCAGAGTTCGAGTATCTGAAGCTTAAAATGTTGCAGATGGGAGACCCACTCATGCTGCGAACTCTTCGACAGAAAATCTTCGTGTGCAGCAACTCTGTACTCTTCTAAGCTGGCGAGCAGAGGAAGAGTTCAAAGGGCAACCCGGCTTCCTCGGCCCACCACAGTGGCCTTAGTAGCCTTTGCTTCTGCTCGAGTAACTGAACTCAGACTGGACAGGCAGAGATCAACATCATGACAGTCGAAGCCATGAAAGTGGGCCATCAAGACCTGAGCCACCGGCATGTTTGTTTCTCAGAGTGCGCAGAAATCATCATGTCGGTTTCAACCCACAACGACTTTTTTGGCATGCTGTCGCAGGAAGGAACGATACCAGCAAATTGGTGGTGTCATGGACATTGTGGGATGCTTAAAAAGCGCAGTTTCAGAAACGGCGGAAATAGCTTTCCTCGCTTCCTCTCCCGCGTCCTCTGCCCTCTTCTCATCCAACATCATCACACTCACTATCGCCCTCACCCCTACCCTCATCCTCAACCACCGTTACCATCATCACCATCTGCATCAGCATCAGCGCCATCGCCACAGCGCCATCGCCATGACCATCATCTCTATCATCATTATCATCCTCCTCCTCCTCTTCGTCGTCGCCATCACCATCACCATCCGCATCATCATCAGTATCGCCATCAGCAGCTTCATTTTCTTCATCATGGCCAACTTCTTCATCATCACCGGCTCTCAATGTAGCATTCGGCCAGGGAGCACAGCACGATGTAACAGCTTCGAGGAAAAGCTGATGGACAACATGGCAGATCTTAACGACGAAATTGCCGACATCAACGAGGTGGGTGCTTGTGGATGTTCGTGGGGGTTGCTTTGTCCGTTGTGCTGCGGCAGGCCATCTCCACGACGTATGCGGTCCCGGACGGCTTCGATGAGGCCGCAACTTCTTAAACACCCTCAACCCGAGGCCTGTCCCAAGCATGGGCTTCCGACACACTGCAACGGACACAGACAGGCCCTTAGCGCAACAAACACAGACGCGCACACAAAACACACGCAGACACATACACGCAGACACACAAACACACCCTTACACCAGTGAATTCGTTGATCGACTTGTCAACCTGGCTTCGCGGCTGATGGTCAGGCGTCCTTCGAAGCTGAGCAGGATACCGAGCATGTCTGAGTGTTGTGGCCCTTCACTTGCTTGTCGCGTCCTACAGGAAATATCCTTATGGATGACCCTATCACAGTGCCTGGCAGTAACCTTCTAGTAAGTATCAGAGCCTGGGCGTCAAAACTGAACCCAATGCTTATCCAAGTAGAGTTCATTTTGCAAGTGCGCTTGTCTTGCCTTCTTGTGCTTTCCTTGGTCGCAAGACACTGAGAAGCCTCGGCCCCACCAAATGATGCATCGCGCCTCATCATGTCGTCCGTGACAAGTTGATTTCTTCGGGAACTTTTCTAGAGAAGCTTCTGATGGCCGGCCGTGCCGCTGAGTCTCAGGTTCAGCGCCCTTGAAGAAGAGATGAAGATGGAAGCTTTGGCAGGCCTTGGCCCATTTTTCAAGTCTTGTGCGCTGAGCGCTGCCCCTGGTGCTTGTCAGGTATCAGCTCCACTGCGAAGCCATCTTATTTGCCAGTCAGCTGCTGAGAGAACGATTCTGTCAGTAAACTCATCTGTACCACTCCATTCCCGGGGTAAACCCTAAACCCTAAACCCCTAAACCCTAAACCCTAAACCCTAAACCCTAAACTTATGTCCACAAGTTGGGCGCATCGTCGCGTGCTCACGTGCGGACAGGCCGAGACACCTGCGGCGACAGAAGCGAAGGAGCCTGCGGCATCTGCCGCAGAGCCTGCCGAGGTCGGGTGCACAAAGGGATGCCCGGGAGGGGCACGTTTCGCTCGGGACCCAGAGAACCCAATAATTACCGCTTAAGTAAGGAATATACCTCAAATCATAGGGGCCTTAACATTATGGTTAAAGGTATATTCCTTTATCAAGGGGTATTGGGTTCTCTGCGGACTCGGACTTGCTCACTCTGCGTTGATTGCAAGGCGGCGAGAGGCTGACTGCAGTGATGTCACTTACTTTTGCATAGCTCTGGCCGTCTACGCACTGGTCCCTGGATTTGCCGTCGCTTTCGCTGGAAATCTCCGCATGGTGCTTCATGGGGAAACATGCTGGAGCCTCAGCTGATGCGGCCCGCCGTGCTTGTGAGCTGCCAAGTCAAGCAAAGAACGAGGTACAGCGACCCAGCCATGCAGCCGAGCTCCTGCTTCGTCTTTGTTAATGCCTTACAGTAAGCCATGCTTACACAGTGCGCCTGGCAACATCGGAGCTGTATCGGACAGCCTCCGTCCTCAGTCAAGGATTTCAGAAAAGCCGGTCAGTTAGCTTCTTCAGCAGAGGCTGCACAGAGAATGGCTGTGCTCAGAGGACAAAGGGTCCGGGAGTAAGGGTGCAAGACAAGATACTACGGTGGCATGTCAAGCAGCGTGACGCGTGTTTATAGTCTGTGCTCGCCCTCGCCCACCGCCGTTTTCGCATCAAGTCGACGATGTGAAACAACTCAAAGTAGAGCTGCAGACGTGGCGAGACGTGGCGAGGCAGATTTCCGGGCTGGGATGGGGCGAAGTTTCTGACTTCTTCAGAACTCAGATGCTCGAGTTCCTGCGGGACAGCCTGATGTGTACAGAGGAGTACAGGCCTCAAAGGCTGGCGCAGCAAGTCCGAAGGGGAATTGAGAACAAGGAGCCTCAGTGACTCAGGCCAAGCCAGAAGTCTTCTGGGCGTCGGTCGGTTACCGCAGTTTTGTAGAGCTCGCGGCAGCACTTCTGGCAATGCTTTGCTGAGTAAGGGCGGTCTGTTGCACTGGTACACCGGCACCGCAAACCAGGAGGAGGACGGGTGCTTGTTCCAGTACAGGCTTCACATGATGGGGGACTGCTCGCCTCAAGGCCTGCAGAAGTGATCTCATCGCAGGCCAGGTCGGCGCACTGGGCCATGATATGCATACCAGGCATCTAACTACTGCTGCTGCTGCTGCTGC